TGCAATCAAGCTGGAGATCAATACCACAAGAAACTGTAGGAACTTCACAAACACATGGAAATTGAACAACACTCTCCTGAATAATCAATGGATCACAGAGGAAATTAAAGAAGAAATCAGACAGTTTTTACAAATAAACGAAAATGCCAATACAACATACAGGAATCTATGGGACACAATGAAAGCAGTTCTACGTGGAAAATTCATAGCACTGAATGCCCACATTAGGAAAACAGAGCAAGCTCAAATAAACAACCCAACGATGACTCTTAGACTCCTAGAAAAGCAAGAGCAAGAAAAACCCAAAGCTCGAACAAGAGAGGAAATTATAAAGATTAGAGCAGAAATCAATGCAATGGAAACTAAGAAAATGATACAAAAAATAAATGAATCCAAGAGTTGGTTTTTTGAAAGAATAACTAAAATTGATAAACCCTTAGCAAACCTTATCGAAAAAAGGAAAGAAAAGGCTCAGATTCATGCAATCAGGAACGAAAAAGGAAAGTCACAACAGATCCCAGAGAAATCCAGAGGATCATTAATACATATTATGAGAACCTGTACTCTAACAAAATGGAAAACACAGAAGAAATGGAGATTTCTAGATACTTATGAATTACCAAAGTTGAACAAAGAAGATAAAAACATTTTAAACACCCCAATCACAATCAGTGAAATTGGAAATGTAATTAAAAACTTACCAACAAAGAAAAGCCCAGGTCCTGATGGATTCACTGCTGAATTTTACAAGACATTTAGAGAAGATCTACTGCCATCACTCTTCAGACTTTTCAATGAAATTGAAAGAGAAGCAATACTGCCAAATTCATTCCTGGAAGCAAACATCACTTTGATTCCCAAACCTGGGAAAGATGTAACTAAAAAAGAGAACTACAGGCCAATCTCCTTAATGAATATAGATGCAAAAATCCTCAGTAAGATACTAGCAAACACAATACAGAGGATCATCAAGAAGATCATACATCCTGACCAAGTCGGATTTATTCCAGGGATGCAAGGATGGTTCAACATACGTAAATCAATAAATGTAATACACTATATTAACAAAGTCAAGGATAAGAACCACAAGATCCTCTTGATAGATGCAGAAAAAGCATTTGACAAAATTCAACACCCATTCACGATAAAAACTGCAAAAAATTGGAATAGATGGTCTATGCCTCAACTTAATAAAGGCTATCTATGCTAAACCAACAGCCAACATCACATTAAATGGCCAAAAACTGAAAACCTTCAACGTTAAAATCAGGAACAAGACAAGGATGCCCACTATCACCACTCCTCTTCAATATAGTTCTGGAAACATTAGCCACAGCAATTAGACAAGAGAAAGAAATTAAAGCAATAAAGATAGGAAAGGAAGAAGTTAAAATGTCCTTATTTGCTGATGATATGATACTCTACATTGAAGACCCAAAAAACCCCACCAAAAGACTTCTAGACTTCATTGACACTTTTAGCAGAGTAGCTGGATACAAGGTCAACACCCAAAAATCAACAGCCTTCTTGCAGACAAATAACAGACTCAATGACAAAGAAATTAGGGAAACAATTCCTTTCACAATAGCACCCAAAAAAATGAAGTATCTGGGAATCAATCTAACAAAAGAAGCCAAAGACCTCTACACTGAAAACTACAGCACTCTGAAAAAAGAGATCGAGGAGGATACAAGAAAATGGAAAGATGTCTCCTGCTCCTGGGGAGGAAGAATCAACATAGTGAAAATGGCCATACTACCAAAACTGCTATATACATTCAATGCAATGCCAATTGAAATTCCAACACTATATTTCACAGAACTAGAAAAAAGAATCCAAAAATTCATTTGGAACCACAAGAGACCTAGAATAGCAAAAGCCATTTTAGGCAACAGACACATGGCACCAGGTGTAACAATTCCCAATTTGAAACTATACTACAAAGCCA